GCCTTAGACAAGGATGTGTGATGTCACCTTGGTTGTTTAATATATTTATGGATGGGATTGTAAGAGAAGTAAATGCGAGGGTCTTGGCAAGAGGCGTGGAGTTAAAAGATAAAGAATCACACACAAATGGGAGTTGTCACAGCTGCTTTTTGCTGATGACACTGTGCTCTTGGGAGATTCTGAAGAGAAGTTGCAGAGATTGGTGGATGAATTTGGTAGGGTGTGCAAAAGAAGAAAATTAAAGGTGAATACAGGAAAGAGTAAGGTTATGAGGATAACAAAAAGATTGGGTGATGAAAGATTGAATATCAGATTGGAGGGAGAGAGTATGGAGGAGGTGAATGTATTCAGATATTTGGGAGTGGACGTGTCAGCGGATGGGTCTATGAAAGATGAGGTGAATCATAGAATTTTATGAGGGGAAAAGAGTGAGTAGTGCACTTAGGAGTCTGTGGAGACAAAGAACTTTGTCCTTGGAGGCAAAGAGGGGAATGTATGAGAGTATAGTTTTACCAACGCTCTTATATGGGTGTGAAGCATGGGTGATGAATGTTGCAGCGAGGAGAAGGCTGGAGGCAGTGGAGATGTCATGTCTGAGGGCAATGTGTGGTGTGAATATAATGCAGAGAATTCGTAGTTTGGAAGTTAGGAGGAGGTGCGGATTACCAAAACTGTTGTCCAGAGGGCTGAGGAAGGGTTGTTGAGGTGGTTCGGACATGTGTAGAGAGAATGGAGCGAAACAGAATGACTTCAAGAGTGTATCAGTCTGTAGTGGAAGGAAGGCGGGGTAGGGGTCGGCCTAGGAAAGGTTGGAGAGAGGGGTAAAGGAAGTTTTGTGTGCGAGGGGCTTGGACTTCCAGCAGGTATGCGTGAGCGTGTTTGATAGGAGTGAATGGAGACAAATGGTTTTTAATACTTGACGTGCTGTTGGAGTGTGAGCAGAGTAACATTTATGAAGGGGTTCAGGGAAACCGGCAGGCCGGACTTGAGTCCTGGAGATGGGAAGTACAGTGCCTGCACTCTGAAGGAGGGGTGTTAATGTTGCAGTTTAAAAACTGTAGTGTAAAGCACCCTTCTGGCAAGACAGTGATGGAGTGAATGATGGTGAAAGTTTTCCTTTTTCGGGCCACCCTGCCTTGGTGGGAATCGGCCAGTGTGATAATAAAATAAAAATATAATAAAAAAGAAGCGCTAAACTGCAAGGAATTTTTGTATAGATTTAGCAGGACACGGAGAATGTCACAGAGATTTTTGTCTGGTATTGTGCCTATGGGTCCTGTCACAACTATCAAAAAGTGTTTTAGTTCAGAGTTAATATTGGAATTTATGGTTCTGTACATGTAGGTTGCACAGTAGTAAGTGTGGATGTTCTGTACAGTGAGTAAGTTTAGGTCTTTGAAGAGTGAGGGAGTTTTGCCTAGTATTAGACTGCATGATAATTCTTACTGCGGCTTTTTGCTTGGTTATTAATGGATTTAGGTGGGTTGCTGCTGTTAATCCCCAAGCACAAATGGCATAGGTGAGGTAGGGATAAATGACTGAATAGTATAGTGGGAGTAGGGCTGACTGTGGTATGTAGTAATATAGGATATAGGCATGTTTTATTTTTATAATTAACTTCATATACATAGAGTATACCTAGAGATAGTTTTGGGGGTCAATGCCCCCCTGGATCAATCTGTGACCAGGCCTCATGGTGGATCAGGGTCTCCACAATCAGGCTGTTACGGCTGGCCACACGCAAACTGATGTACAAACCACAGCCCAGCTTTTCAGATACTGAATTTAGGCGCCTGTCCAGTGCCTTCTTGAAAATAGCCAGGGGTCTATTGGTAATCCCCCTTATGTATGCTGGGAGGCAGATGAATGGTCTTGGGTCCCTGACACTTATTGTCTCTTAGTGTATATGTGGCACCCCTGCTTTTCATTGGGGGAATGTTGCATCTCCAGCCAAGTATTTTGCTTTTGTAGGGAGTGATTTTCGTGTGCAAGTTGGGTACTAATCCCTCAAGGATTTTCCAAGTGTATATTATCATTTATCTTTCTCGCCTGCATTCCAGGGAATACAAACCAAGGGGCTTCAACCATTCCCAGTAATATAGCTGCTTTATCATACTCTGTGTGCTGTGAAAGTCCTCTGTACACTCTGCAGGTCAGCAATTTCGCCTGCCTTGAAAGGGGCAGTTAGTGTACAGCGGTATTCCAGCCTAGAGAGAACAAGCGATTTGAAGAGAATCATCATGAGCTTGGCATCCCTAGTTTTGAAGCTTCTCATTATCCGCCCTATCATTTTTCTAGCAAATGAGGTAGGTACGTACATTGTTGTGGCCTTGAAATTAGATATCCTCTGATACTATCACTCCCAGGTCCTTCACATTAGTTTTTCGCTCTATTGTGTAGCTACAATTTATTGTATACCCTGATACAGTTTTAATCTTAAAAGTTTTTCATATCTTAGTTAAAATTTATCTTCATTGAATTTCATATTGCTGTCTGTGGCCAATCTGCTTCATGTCCATTCAGAGTCTTGAGGTGTCTTCGATGGAGGACACTGTCATGGCAATTCGGGTGTCATCCGCAAAAGAAGACATAGAGCTATGGAATACATATCTTTCTATGTCAGATATGAGGATGAGGAGCTGGATGGGAGCAAGTTGTGTGTGTTGTGCAACAGAGCTTTTCACTGTAGCTGCCTCAAACTTTACTCTATTTACTATTACTCTTTGTGTTCTATTTGTTGGGAAGTTATAGATCCATCTACCAACTTTTCCTGTTAGTCCTTTATCATGCATTTTGTGCACTATTACACCGTGGTTGCACCTGTCAAAGGCTTTTGCAAAGTCTGTGAATACTACATCTGCATTTTGTTTATTATGGGATAGGCAGGAACCACTGCTCTAAACCCATGTTGGCAATCTTGCTTCTTAGAACCCTTTCAAAGATTGTTATGATATGGGATGTTAGCACTATCGGTCTGAAGATCTTTGCAATTGCTTTACTGCCACCTCTGTGTTGTGGGGCTATGTGGGATGTCCCCTGTGTCAATGCTCACTCTCCATAGAATGCTGAAGGCACGTGACAGGATTAAATCTCCCCAGTAAAATCCCAGGTACCAATGCCCAAGCAAGTGATTACTTAGATGGGAATTTCCCAACCTCCTCCTATCTTGCACTAACTGAGCCAACAGAATTCACCACGATTATTATATCGCTTAAAAATAAATCAGGAAATCTGGCTCAAGTCCTGCCATTAGTGTACAAACGAGCAGCTCATGTTCTTTCACCCGCTATTTCATTACTCTTTAACAAATTACTAGAAATCAGCACTTTCCAGACACTACTCAAGATAGCAAGGGCTACACCAATACACAAAGGTGGTGGTCCCACAGATATAAACAACTACAGGCCAATAGCGAACTTGCCGTTGCTGTCCAAAATCTTTGAGAAATTCATGCACAAGAGATTATACTCCTTTATAATAGCAAAAAGCATCCTTAACCCTAAACTTGTTATCTGGCATTTATATGCATTTATAAGTGGAAAAAATGGCATTCTGCTTTCCGGCGATGTATGCTTTCTGGCAGTAGCCTGGAACCTAAGCTGCCGTATAAGTGGGGCCCTACTGTATCATGCTGAAATAAAGTATTCTTATTATTATTATTATTATTATTATATATCAAATTTATGAAGTTTTTTAGAACTATCCTGTAGTTAAAGCATTTATTATATTTTCTGAGTTAACAGCACCTTTGTTGACACATTTAGCATTCAGACAAAACATGCTGAAACTATTTGAATAATATGAAATCTGTCTTTATGGAGCAAGCTGCTATAATTATAAAAATAAGGCTGTACAAAACTAACCCAGAATATGCTGCTGAAATGCAAAAAAAAAAAAAAAAAATTTTTTATTAACACATCGGCCGATTCCCACCAAGGCAGGGTGGCCCGAAAAAGAAAAACTTTCTTCATCATTCACTCTATCACTGTCTTGCCAGAGGGGTGCTTTACACTACAGTTTATAAAACTGCAACATTAACACCCCTCCTTCAGAGTGCAGACACTGTACTTCCTATCTCCAGGACTCAAGTCCAGCCTGCCGGTTTCCCTGAATCCCTTCATAAATGTTACTTTGCTCACACTCCAACAGCACGTCAAGTATTAAAAACCATTTGTCTCCATTCACTCCTATCAAATATGCTCATGCATGCTTGCTGGAAGTCCAAGCCCCTCGCACACAAAACCTCCTTTACCCCTTCCCTCCAACCTTTCCTAGGCCGACCCCTACCCTGCCTTCCCTCCACTACAGATCGATACACGCTCGAAGTCATTCTGTTTTGTTCCATTCTCTCTACACCTCAACAACCCTTCCTCAGCCCACTGGACAACAGTTTTGGCAATCTCGCTCCTCCTCCTAACTCTTTACTCCATAAAGATCTTGTCAGCTGAATAGTGACATGGTTAACAACTACCTACAATTTGTTTGTTCTGACTTACAATGTTCAACATTTATGACAGTGGCACTTTGGAACAAAATGATTAATTACAAATGCTGATCTGTGGTTATAATCATTGCCATTATTACAGTTGGGTGTAAAAATGATCATTGAAGGCCACTGCAATTCCCATTATTGCAGTTAAGCTGTCATAGTAACCAACAAGGTCACAATTCAGTTTAGGGATATTAATGGAGAGAACAGTGTTCCTGTGACCACTGCAGGTAGACCCAGGAGGCTACCAACTCCATAACAATATTAATGGAGAGAACAGTGTTCCTGTGACCACTGCAGGTAGACCCATGAGGCTACCACTCCATAACAAATACAATAATTCTAGATCTTTTACTTAAATACTGAAATAAATTCAGAAAAATAAACTTCAGAGATAGGAACAACAGCAGTCTTGAACCTGTAAGTCAAGGCAGTTGGATATACATTGTGAAAAAGGGCAAGAATTACAATAATATTAAAGTCAAGTACATGGTTCATATTATTTTCAGACCTGTGAATTATATACAGAGAATTCAATTAAGACTGCACGCGTCTTCTCATCAATCCAATGGTTACTCTGTAGCTCCTGGAACCTTGCGATAATGTCGTCTGTACTAGCCTTCAGGTGGATGACATAACCTCCACCACCATACCAGTTGGTTTGTCCCCAGATAGGTGCACTGTTCAATTGTGCAGCAGTTGAATACCTGTTGAATACACACATCTAAGCACATTACAACTAATGAAAGTTTAGCATTTATTAAAAACTTCAAATGAGTTATTTAGTTCCAACTCAATAGCTAATGGCTGACATATATTTTTGGTAAAAATGTTATTGAATTTGAGCTTACGCTAATGCAAAGTGAAACTAAATACAGCACTTAAGGGAGAACGAGCACCATCAATAACTTTGAAATTAGATACAGTGCTAGTCACAGCATTATGCTGGGTGAGCACCCTGGCCTAATGCCATGACGAAAATCAAAGGCCCACCATATAGGGGGGGGTCTTTTTTCATCAGTGCATTATGCCAGGTAGCAGCCGTTAGCATGACGTCACGGCCTGCTGCCACATTCCACATTGACTCCTCAGTGCTCACGTGGCTGCCGTGGTGAGAGGAAGTGTTGTACTTCTGTCTTTCATCCGCTCCAGCTTTTGTCCGGTATTCCCTTTGGTTTTGGAGCTATACACGTTTGATTATGGGCAAAAGGAAGTCTTTAACACCTAAAACAATAGCTCAAACCATAGGGCTTCACAAAGCTGGGCACCAGACGAAAGAAATAGTGGAGAATGTTGGTGTGTGTGAGCGTTCAGTGAGGAACTGGGTGCAGAAATTCAAGGCTGGTGGCAGTGTCGAGCTACTGTCTACCAAACCTTGGCCTAGCCCCTCGAAGAAGACCTTAACTGTGTTAAAGAAGCAGTTAGAAAGTATACCTAAGATAACTGCTAGAGAACTGAAAGAAAAGAACCCACATCGTCTCTCAGAGGCATCTGTAAGAACTGTTAACAGACGTGTGTCAGAACTGGGCTATAGTAGTCACCGCCAGGTTAAGAAACCGATCCTCTCCAAGCCGTAGAAGAAATGTAGGCTGGATTATGTAAAGAAATATCTTCAGTGGAATTCTCAACAGTGGTCTGAATTACTTTGGAGTGATGAAGCAACCTTCCTTGATGCTGGTGAGGGGTTCTTGATCTAGGGAATTGGATCTGTTCTCCAGTTCCCTAAATTAATAATTATAATAGTAATAATAATAAAAATAATAATAATAATAATAAAAATAATAATAAAAATAATAATAGTAGGTTGGTAGACAGCAACCACCCAGGGAGGTACTACCGTCCTGCCAAGTGAGTGTAAAATGAAAGCCTGTAATTGTTTTACATGATGGTAGGATTGCTGGTGTCTTTTGTCTGTCTCATAAATATGCAAGATTACAGGCATGTCTTGCTACTTCTACTTACACTTAGGTCACACTACACATACATGTTCACGTTTATTTATACACACTCATCTGAGTTTTCTTTGATTTTATCTTAATAGTTCTTGGTCTTATTACTTTTCCTTTTATATCCATGGGGAAGTGGAATAAGAATCTTTCCTCCGTAAGCCATGCGTGTTGTAAAAGTCAACTAAAATGCCGGGAACAATGGGCTAGTAACCCCTTTTCCTGTAAAGATTACTAAAAAGAATAAGTAGAAGAAAATTGTCAAAGTGGGAAGTCTGAATGTGCGTGGATGTTGTGCAAATGATAAGAAAGAGATGATTGTGGATGTTATGAATGAGAAGAAATTGGATGTCCTGGCTTTAAGTGAAACAAAGCTGAAGGGGGGTGGGAGAGTTTCAATGGAGAGGAATAAATGGGATTAGGTCAGGGGTTTCAAATAGAGTTAGAGCTAAAGAAGGAGTAGCAATAATGTTGAAAAATAAGCTATGGCAGGAAAAGAGGGACTACAAATGTATAAATTCAAGGATTATGTGGAGTAAAATAAAGATTGGATGTGAAAAGTGGGTTATAGTAAGCGTGTATGCACCTGGAGAAGAGAGAAGTGTAGAGGAGAGAGAGAGATTCTGGGAAATGTTGAGCAAATGCGTGGGGAGTTTTGAATCAAGTGTGAGAGTAATGGTGGTTGGGGATTTCAATGCTAAAGTGGATAAAAATGTTATAGAGGGAGTAGTAGGTAAATTAGGGGTGCCAGGGGTAAACGTAAATGGGGAGCCTTTAATTGAGCTATGTGTAGAAAGAAATTTGGTAATAAGTAATACATATTTTATGAAAAAGAGGATAAATAAATATACAAGGTATGATGTAGCACGTAATGAAAGTAGTTTGTTAGATTATGTATTGGTGGATAAAAGGTTGATGGGTAGGCTCCAGGATGTACATGTTTATAGAGGGGCAACTGATATATCGGATCATTATTTAGTTGTAGCTACAGTTAGAGTAAGAGGTAGATGGGAAAAGAGGAAGGTGGCAACAACAAGTAAGAGGGAGGTGAAAGTGTATAAACTAAGGGAGGAGGAAGTTCGGGCGAGATATAAGAGACTATTGGCAGAAAGGTGGGCTAGTGCAAATATGAGTAGTGGGGGGGTTGAAGAGGGTTGGAATAGTTTTAAAAATGCAGTATTAGAATGTGGGGCAGAAGTTTGTGGTTATAGGAGGGTGGGGGCAGGAGGAAAGAGGAGTGATTGGTGCAATGATGAAGTAAAGGGTGTGATAAAAGAGAAAAAGGTAGCTTACGAGAGGTTTTTACAAAGCAGAAGTGTTATAAGAAGAGCAGAGTATATGGAGAGTAAAAGAAAGGTGAAGAGAGTGGTGAGAGAGTGCAAAAGGAGCGCAGATGAAAGAGTGGGAGAGGCACTGTCAAGAAATTTTAATGAAAATAAGAAAAAATTTTGGAGTGAGTTAAACAAGTTAAGAAAGCCTAGGGAAAGTATGGATTTGTCAGTTAAAAACAGAGTAGGGGAGTTAGTAGATGGGGAGAGGGAGGTATTAGGTAGATGGCAAGAATATTTTGAGGAACTTTTAAATGTTAAGGAAGAAAGGGAGGTGGTAATTTCATGCACTGGCCAGGGAAGTATACCTTCTTTTAGGAGTGAAGAAGAGCAGAATGTAAGTGTGGTGGAGGTACGTGAGGCATTACGTAGAATGAAAGGGGGTAAAGCAGCTGGAATTGATGGGATCATGACAGAAATGTTAAAAGCAGGGGGGGATATAGTGTTGGAGTGGTTGGTACTTTTCTTTAATAAATGCATGAAAGAGGGGAAGGTACCTAGGGATTGGCGGAGAGCATGTATAGTCCCTTTATATAAAGGGAAAGGGGACAAAAGAGATTGTAAAAATTATAGAGGAATAAGTTTACTGAGTATACCAGGAAAAGTATACGGTAGGGTTATAATTGAAAGAATTAGAGGTAAGACAGAATGTAGGATTGCGGATGAGCAGGGAGGCTTCAGAGTGGGTAGGGGATGTGTAGATCAAGTGTTAACATTGAAGCATATATGTGAACAGTATTTAGATAAAGTTAGGGAAGTTTTTATTGCATTTATGGATTTAGAAAAGGCATATGATAGAGTGGATAGAGGAGCAATGTGGCAGATGTTGCAAGTATATGAAATAGGTGGTAAGTTACTAAATGCTGTAAAGAGTTTTTATGAGGATAGTGAGGCTCAGGTTAGGGTATGTAGAAGAGAGGGAGAATACTTCTCGGTAAAAGTAGGTCTTAGACAGGGACGTGTAATGTCACCATGGTTGTTTAATATATTTATAGATGGGGTTGTAAAAGAAGTAAATGCTAGGGTGTTCGGGAGAGGGGTGGGATTAAATTATGGGGAATCAAATACAAAATGGGAATTGACACAGTTACTTTTTGCTGATGATACTGTGCTTATGGGAGATTCTAAAGAAAAATTGCAAAGGTTAGTGGATGAGTTTGAGAATGTGTGTAAAAGGTAGAAAGTTGAAAGTGAAGATAGAAAAGAGTAAGGTGATGAGAGTATCAAATGATTTAGATAAAGAAAAATTGGATATCAAGTTGGGGAGGAGGAGTATGGAAGAAGTGAATGTTTTCAGATACTTGGGAGTTGACGTGTCGGCGGATGGATTTATGAAGGATGAGGTTAATCATAGAATTGATGAGGGAAAAAAGGTGAGTGGTGCATTGAGGTATATGTGGAGTCAAAAAATGTTATCTATGGAGGCAAAGAAGGGAATGTATGAAAGTATAGTAGTACCAACACTCTTATATGGATGTGAAGCTTCGGTGGTAAATGTAGCAGCGAGGAGACGGTTGGAGGCAGTGGAGATGTCCTGTCTAAGGGCAATATGTGGTGTAAATATTATGCAGAAAATTCGGAGTGTGGAAATTAGGAGAAGGTGTGGAGTTAATAAAAGCATTAGTCAGAGGGCAGAAGAGGGGTTGTTGAGGTGGTATGGTCATTTAGAGAGAATGGATCAAAGTAGAATGACATGGAAAGCATATAAATCTATAGGGGAAGGAAGGAGGGGTAGGGGTCGTCCTTGAAAGGGTTGGAAAGAGGGGGTAAAGGAGGTTTTGTGGGCTAGGGGCTTGGACTTCCAGCAAGCATGCATGAGCATATTAGATAGGAGTGAATGGAGGCGAATGATACTTGGGACCTGACGATCTGTTGGAGTGTGAGCAGGGTAATATTTAGTGAAGGGATTCAGGGAAACCGGTTATTTTCATATAGTCGGACTTGAGTCCTGGAAATGGGAAGTACAATGCCTGCACTTTAAAGGAGGGGTTTGGGATATTGGCAGTTTGGAGGGATATGTTGTGTATCTTTATACGTATATGCTTCTGAACTGTTGTATCCTGAGCACCTCTGCAAAAGCAGTGATAATGTGTGAGTGTGGTGAAAGTGTTGAATGATGATGAAAGTATTTTCTTTTTGGGGATTTTCTTTCTTTTTTGGGTCACCCTGCCTCGGTGGGAGACGGCCGACTTGTTGGAAAAAAAAAAAACGAGGAGCTTCAGAACACCGCCAACTAGTGCAGTGCACTGTTTACCTCTCCGTGGAAGAATTTCTCTCATTTTTTGCTTGCATTTTGTGTAGTTATTTTGCCAAATTTCTTTCTCCTAACCATGGGTCCTAAGAAAGTAAGCGCAAAGGACAGTGCTGAGAAGAAAAAGAGGATGATGTCCATGGAATTAAAGCACGAAATCATAGATAAACATGCACAAGGTGTGTGGGTTCTTTGCGAGGCAGTAGGAGCATAGTACGTACGTACTTCTACTACGCTGGTACTGCCTCACATTAAACATTAAGAGTAGCAATTAGGTTTAGCAATAAAGTGCAGCAAGTAGCCTATGTTCCACCTTCCACCTCTACCAGTTTACCTGGAGTTTACCTGTAGAGAGTTCCGGGGGTCAACGCCCCCGCGGCCCGGTCTGTGACCAGGCCTCCTGGTGGATCAGAGCCTGATCAACCAGGCTGTTACTGCTGGCTGCACGCAAACCAACGTACGAGCCACAGCCCGGCTGGTCAGGAACTGACTTTAGGTGCTTGTCCAGTGCCAGCTTGAAGACTGCCAGGGGTCTGTTGGTAATCCTCCTTATGTATGCTAGGAGGCAGTTGAACAGTCTATTATGTTTTGTACAATATTTTTTATTTATAAATACATTGTTTCAGTGTTTTCCTTATGAAACTAGTGATCTAGTGCAGTTAGCTTCACAAACAATTCGTTGTCAGAAGGGAAAATGGGAAGATATGGTCAATGCGGCAGCGGCACTGGATGCCACCACTCATAACATAATGACATATTTTATTCATTCTAGAGTATATATCATGTTTCTATGTTATTTATATTGTTTATTATGTCATATTAGATCAATTGTGATAGATAAATAAGCTGTAGAGTTGTTATTAGCATTTTACTAAAGTATTTTGTCCTGCCTCCTGAGAGCAGTAATTCTGCTGAAACGGATTAATGGCATTTCAGATCATTTAAATGAGGAAAATTTCTTTGATATATGAGCAAACTGTGTTATGAGCTAGGTCATCGAAGTTCCACTGTACAATGATTTTGATGAAATAGTCTAAAATCTGGTCTGAATTTGCATGCATCATTTTGGGCCTGAACATTGTCTCATCTTCAATGTTGTCATTAATAGGTTTCCAAGATCACCTCTCAGTGTGAATGTTGATACAGTGGACCCTCGGTTATCAGCTGTAGCCCATTCCAGATGGTCGGCCTAAAACCAAAAAGGCCAAAAAAATAAAATAATATTTCCATTAAGAATTAATATAAATCCAATTAATCCGATTCAAACATCCAAAAATATTAGCAAAAAGTACATAGTTTTACATACAGAAAACAATGAGTACAGTCATCACTTACCTTAAAATATCTTTAGTCTTAATGTAGGACGAGAGGTGAGTAGTATTTATTTGTAGGAAGTCAGTGTAGGCAGCAGTAGATGTAGGTACAGTGCACGTATGTAGTATCCCCTGGGCTACACTACACAGCCATATTATTACACTATACAGCGATATTATAACACCACAGAGTCACATTATTACCATGTTCACTGAGTTCAATTGTTTCTAACAACTACCTTTAGATGCCATCATAAACAAAGGGAGAAGTAATGAATAATTCATGCTGAGAATTGTAAACAAATGCATATGATGGGTGGTCACTGGGCAAGACACCAGATTCACAGTTTTCTCTAATGTTGAATCAGAGAAAACGCAATCTTTACTCTCCACCTGACTCTCCACTTGACAGCATATAAACATTGCATGTTTATATGCTAAATGCTATGTAACGTGTTTCTTATATAATTTTGAAGAAAATATCATAGGTGGATTAATGAAAATGTCTATATTAACCTAAAATAAAACATTTAATGTGCCCAAGAGTGATTATTATTAAACATACATCGCATATAAACATTGCATGTTTTTATATACTATGTAACGTCTTTCTTTGGGCCAATGATGGCTTATTTTGTAGTTACATTGAATAAACAACCACAAAAAACAATGGATTATAATGAAATGTTTGGATGAATGCACAGAGTCTTGCTCACTCACCCAGAGACACAGCCAGATTGACTCACAAATGCGGCATCCCTACTACATTCCCTGCCTTCCTGCTACACTCCCTGCCTTCCTGCTACACTCCATGCATGCCTACTACACTCCCTGCATGCCTGCTACACTCCCTGCATGCCTGTTACACTCCTTGCATGCCTAATAATCTCCCTGCCTCCCTGCTACACTCCCTCCTTGCCTGCTAAGCTCCCTCCCTGCCTGCTACACTCCCTGCATGCCTGCTACACTCCCTGCATGCCTGTTACACTCCCTGCCTTCCTGCTACACTCATTGCCTGCAAGCTACACTCCCTGCCTCCCTGCTACACTCCTTGCCTTCCTGCTACACTCTCTTCATGCCTGCTGCACTCCTTGCCTCTATACCTGCCTGCCGTGAGTTCTATTGTATTTCTCACTTTCTTTGCCAAAGGAACTTTACTAGGAACTTTCATTGGGGCCATGGTTACTTATTTCGCAGTTGCACTTCATCAATAACCACCAAAAACAATATATTATAGCGAAATGCATGAGCGGCTGGTGGTGGACATGTCCAATACGGCCAATAAGCAAAATAATGGCTGATATCAGAAGCCGAAAAACCTGCTGATAACCGAGGGTCTACTGTATACGTACCTGAACTCAGGCATTGAACACTGTGAAATGTTGACATTATAACTATCAGTAGGAATCCATCCAGCACAATAGTCCTGGCTATCTTCATCCAGTATCCCATTGTAGCTGTTGCACTCTTTCTCAAACAATCTCATCACATATGGAATCCTGTTAGAAAAAATAAAATTAACTGAACAAATTCCTCACATATACTTGAATATAAATAACAAAGATTATTATTATTATAATAAAAAAGAAGCGCTAAGCCACAAGGGCTATACAGCGCTGCAGGGTAGGGAAGGAAGCGAGGGTATTGGGCGGCAGAAGGGAGGAGGGATGATCAGTAGGTTACAGAAAACAGTGGGGCAGGGGGTAGTGCGGGGGTAGAGGGCAGCAAGAGATTGAGGTAGAAAAGGCTGAAGGTATCATCAGAGTTTGTGAGGTAAGTCAGTTGTTGTCAAAAAGTCAATGAGAGATTCCGGATGAAAGGTGGGTCCATCAGCCAGAAGGGAAGGTAAAGAGAGAGCAGCGGAGCGAAGACGACGTTGGAGGTATATTCTGCGTGCTCGTTGATAAAGTGGGCAGTCTAATAGAATGTGGCTAACCGATAATGGAACCTGACAATTCTCACAGAGAGGAGCAGGGCGCCTCTCCATGAGATAGCCATGAGTAAGACGAGTATGGCCAATGCAAAGACGGGAGAGAGTAGTCTCCCAACCTCGACACTGGTGACAAGAAGATGGCCAGTAACCTATACTCGGTTTAATAGATTGAAGTTTCTTACTGAGCAGAGTAGACCAACGTTGTTGCCAACGGGTGTGAAGGTGGGTAGCTATTGCAGCAAAATAGTCTGTAAATGGAACACCTCTATATGAAAGTGGTAGGTCATGTACTGCTGACCGCGCAGCAGTGTCTGCCTGTTCATTGCCCTGTACGTCAACATGACCAGGGACCCAACAAAAAACAATATCTTTATGCTTGGAAGAGATGCGGCGTAGCCAAAGTTGGATACGGAGGACTAAGGGGTGAGGTGTATCAAATTTCTGTATAGCCTGTAAAGCACTAAGAGAGTCAGAGACAACCACAAATGATGACATAGGCATAGATGCAATACGGATAAGTGCTGCAAGAATGGCATACAATTCAGCAGTAAAGATACTAGCCGAAGATAGTAAATGCCCTCGTACGACGCTGTCCGGAAACACTGCTGCGAATCCTATGCCGTCAGAAGACTTAGAGCCATCTGTGTACACTGCAATGGCATGAGAATGAGAGTGGAAGTGGTCAAGAAAAAGAGAGCGGGAAGCTACCGTAATCCTTGGTGATGAATGGGGTTAAGGCTAGAGAGAGTAGCAGGAGAGGCCGCTGAATAGATCTGGTCACCATAATCAAGTTTCGATAAAATGAGGGCGGAATGTAGGCGAAGAAGAGTTCAACGATCAGCTCCCCATGAAAGATGAGCAAGGGTTTTAAGAAGGTTCAGCCGACTGTGACAAGTTGCCTTCAGAGAGGTAATGTGAGGTTTCCAGGATAACCTACAGTCAAAGAGGAGACCTAGAAACCTGACTGTATCACGTTCAGGCATACAGGAGCCAAAGAAGTACAAAGGATGATCGGACATGACAGAGCGTCTAGTGAAAGTAATTTGGTGAGTTTTGGTACTGGAAAAATTTTAAAACCCATGTGTTGTGGCCCAAATTTGGAAAAAACCGGTTCGGGACCGCATGTTGGAAAAAAAACTGTAATGAGGTGACAGTCAGCACCTGCACATGCAATAGCAAAGTCATCAACATAGAGTGATGACCAAATATGGATGGAAAGAACAGAGGCCAAATCATTTATAGAAAGGGAAGAAAAAAGTGTTGTGCTCAGAACACATCCCTGGGGAGACACCTTCAGCTTGGATAAAGTCCGGGGAGAGCACATTATTAACCTGAAAAACGGAAATGTCTGTCGGTTTTAAAAAGTTCTTAAGGAAGGATGGTAGATTGCCTCGAAGGCCTAAGGAGTGGGGTTGGGCCAAAATATTATACCTCCAAGTTGTGTCATATGCCTTCTCAAGGTCAAAAAAATATGGCAGTAACTGAGTGGTTATTCACAAAGGCATTATGAACATAGTATCCAAGCGTAGTAAAAAGGTCTATGGTAGAACGGCCCTTATGAAAGCCATATTGACGAGTGGAGAGACTGTTGTGTGTCTCTAAATACACACTAAACGTCTATTTACCGGGCTTTCCCATCACATTTGCAAACTGCACTGGTAAGAGCAATGGGACGACAGTGGGAGGCTTCATGTCCCGTAGTGCCTTGGTTTGCGGAAAGGGAGAACGATGGCAGATTTCCACAGCTGTGGAAAGAACTCCTTGTGACCAAAAAAAGATTGAAAAGGCGTAATAGGACTGCAAGGGCTGACTGATGTAAAGGGTTGTAGCATACGAATATGAATGTTGTCGGGCCCAGCTGCCGATGATAGGCAAGCTGAGAGTGTTGCCTCCATTTCCCTGAAGGGTAAAAGGCACATTTACTGTTTTTCTCTGAGAGAAGAAAAGTCCAAGGGTGCTACTCTCTGGCAGACTTTGAGGAAAGAAATGAGGGGCATAGATGGACCCCCTGAGAAATACGGACCAGATGATTGCCAATTTCATTGGCAAATCTACTGGGTTTGCTATATCAACCCCGACAACCTGCAGAACAGGAGCAGGTCATGAGAATATTTACCACTCAGTTTTCGTATTTTTTTCCCAGACTGCACTCAGAGGAAGCAGAGGTGATGGTGGAGACAAAAATTCTCGCCAGCAAGTGCATTTAGCGTATGGATGACACGGCGAGCGATCGCACGCTTCTGCTTAAAATCAAAAAGTCCCCTCCGTGGTTCTACTGTACTGGTACCTGCCCCACCAGCGCGTTTCAAACGTACTGCCGAGCACAAGCAGGAGACCCCAAAAGGCACGCATTTCTGAGAATCCCTTTCCCCGAAGTTTGGGGTATAGAATGAGAAGCTGGGGTTTTAAACGGAGGACGAGAAGAGGAGTAAAAGTATTAAATGGAAGACGAAGAAGGAACCCACTAAAAAACAGTTAGTTGTGAGTAAAGGTTCCAATTTGCCTCATCAAATTGCCAGCGTGGGATACGAAGAGGTGGTGAATATAAAGGGGAAGTAAGAATGATTGGGAAATAATCGCTGTCATGCAAATCCGGGAGAACAAACCAGGTGAAGTCTAATGCGGCAGAGGAAGAGCAGACTGAGAGATCAATGCAAGAGAGAGTACGATCCGAGGATCAAATGGGTGTAAAGTACCTGTATTTAAAACATGGAGGGGGTGGTAGCAAGAAAAGCCTCTAACTGAATGCCACGGGAATCACAGTGAGACCCCCCAGAGGAAATGATGGGCATTAAAATTGCCACGTAACAGAAGTGGTGGCGGTAATGACGAAACAAGAAAGGCAATATCGGGATAGATAATGTCCGAGAAGGAGAGAGATACAAAGAACAGAGTGTATACCCCCCTATGCAAGTGGATACGGCTGCTGTGTAATGCAGCGAAGTACAAACGAATAGCTGATGGAAACGGAAATACAGTGCGTAGAAAAGGGCACTTTCATTAAAGGTCCCATCAGGAAAAGGATCTGAAGAATACAATAAATTATAGCCTGAGATAGGAAAGATAACGGCAGAGTGTAATTCTGGTTCCTGTTAGCAAACACCAACAGGGGAAAACTGGGAGAGCAACATCTGAAGCTCACCCCGATTACCCCTGAGGCCACGAATATTCCACTGTAAATGACCATGATTTGATTGAATAATTATACCAGAAACCCGCAGGAAAAGGGTACCTACAGACTAGAGGGGTTAGAAAAGTCCACATGCGGTGGCAAAGGAAAACGTTCAAGTAGCGAAGGAACGGAGCATTGTGAAGAAAGGAGTTGCGCAGATGGAGAAGATGAATGAGAAGGAACAGAGGGTGGATCAGTGTCCATTGATGGTTTTGGTCCTGCAATATATTCAGAGATTGCTTCAAGTGTTTTGGGTTCAGAGATGTCGTATGGGAGACAATATTGGAGATGGAAGGAGGAGGAGTTTGAGTAAAGATCAGAGCTGTAATGGACTGTACCAAGGTAGGGAGGGCGAAAGGGTGGAGGGAACTGGAGAAGTGTGGGAAGGGACAGAAGAGGCAGAAACCTGGGAGGTGGCAGAAGAGGAAGAAACTTGGGACGGGACAGGGGAGGAAGGCACAGTATGAGGAGGAGGATGAACCTCCGCACTTGTAACAGAGCCAGTGAAAGGGGAAGACTCAGGTACAGAGACTGGGAAGGTAAAATGTGGAGGTGGATGAAGGGAAGGAGGGGTTAAAGGAGATTTTTTGGGCCTCTGAGAAGTAGAGGGACGATTGGGAGGAGGTGTCGTACGAGGTCTTGTCGATACCGGGGTTTGTGAGGGAGGACACGAAGAAGTGAGGACAGACTGAGGAGTTGAAGCAGGGACGTCTGAGCCCAGGACAGCAAAAGAATTAGATACAGGAGTGACTATGGGACTGGCAACCGCAGAGGAGGCTGCAGAAGATGTGACCCCAGAAGTGGGGGGACGCTTTGAAACACGAGAATAAGAAACACGGGGCAGTCTCCCTTGGAGGCGGAGATGAGAAACCGTCATAGCATAAGGGAGACCTTCTGCCTCTTTGAGGCAACGAATTTCCCACTCATTTAAGTAGACTTGGCAATGGCGAGAGTACGAAGGGTGAGCCTCATGACAGTTAAGGCAAGAGGGAGTTCAACTGCAAGACGTATTAGAATGGTCATCGGCACCACAGACTGGGCATTCGGCTATAGATCTGCAATATTTTGCTGGGTGGCCAAATCGCCAGCAATTCCTACACTTTTGCGGTGTAGGGATCACCTTCCGAACTTGTAACTGATGTCCTGCTACATAAACAGAGGATGGGAGTTCACGGCTGTCAAAAGTTAAACGAGCCACATTGCAAGGCAGGAAGAACATAAGTGTCTACCTTGAGAATTGGGAGATCTTGGAGTTCCAGCTGTTTGAGAATGTCAGTGCCACATGTCTGGAAATTCTGTTGGACTATGGTATGGGGAAGAATAACAGTACCACTACAAGAATTGAGGGAATGATGTTTTTCGATAGTGATAGGAATAGTATCAACATGTGAAAGAAGAGAAAGATCATGAGCTTGGGTAGAATTCTGGACTGTGATGATACGCGTACCACTCTTAAGAGCATTAAAGGAAATATCTCTACTAACGTGGCGTAGGAGTGCTTTGCCAATACTATGGTCGGAAAGATAGGCAATAGAAGAAGTCGGTCTTAATGTAAAGAATTTAGTCCATTGTGTGGTCTGAAACTGAGTGTGGAGAGGGAGTGCATGACGTATCAGTCTTTTCCGAGTAGAAAGGGAAGGTAACGAAGTACGTAACATCATTAGGAGATTGTCGTTGATGTTTAGAAGTGGGACCAGAGTCGGTCCAATGTGGGACGAGCTGGCGATTCGAAAATCGCCGCACCGTAGAGGGAGAAGCCGGAAGCATAGTCAAAGGAGAGCGGAGGTCAGACAAATCGAAGGAGTCAGTGGAAGCCTGAAGTGGGTGAGGAAACAGCACCAGCAAGAGGTACAGGGGCCATAGGAATGTCCGAAGAGTGGCCAAAAGTCAAGGCGAGGTCAGAACGGAGTGCGGTAACAATAAGGGGCCCGGGGGTAGCGGGGTCATGGATTGGGTACTCCATGGTTAGGTTACTTCTTTCTTTTTGTTTTTAAGAAAAAAAAGAAGAAAATAAAAATAAAAAAAAGAATAAAAAAAGGGGAAACCGAGGAGGGATAGTTCCTAGGAGGAATGAAAGGGCCAGAAATTTCCCTCCGTGCCCAAGAAGACCTCAGCACCGCAAGTAGCGCAGATGCAGCATGGAACCCATGCCATACCCTACCCATCATGCCAGTAAACCAGCAATCTCACATCTGCCGAGCTACCTCAGTGGACAAAAGAGAGGGCGGCCGGATATCCACCACAAAGCATACCTCCTTCGGCCACCACCCCCAGAATCCAAAAGGAGGCTTCCAGAGATACACCCGTCGCCCGAAAGACCCCCAAAGCCACCCTTCGGGATACCGGAGAGGGATCGGGACATCCACAGGCAATCCAGATTCCACGGCAAACTACGCCACCGCCAAGAACCTCAACGGAATGGGATGTACCCCGGTACCCTTTCCCCTATCTGTTGGAACTTATTCGGTCCGAGAAGTCCCAACGGGGAAAAACACACCGTTCGATGGCCCTTACACCCACCCAAAACCTAGTGCGCCTGTGGGAAAAAATCCCAAAGGCCAAAAAGGAAGGGCAAAAGGGAGGGGTGGGGAGGAGGAGGAAGAAAGGAAAAAGGGGAGGATGCGGAGGATGGGGAGGATGGGAGAGGGAAAGGGGGATTGGGGGGTAATTAGTTTCGGTCTGAGGAAGGAGACCAACAGGTCTAATTCCTCAGACCAAGAGCCTCTTCACCATGCCAAGGAGCCCCCCTTGAAGAGGATAAATAACAAAGAATATAGTAAAATACACTCATTAGAAAAAAAATATTAGACTCATAATTTTCCATAGAGATGAAGCTGTATCATCATAATACAGATTGTTAATTATGAATATAACTTTATAGCTGATGTTGATAAATGGTTCAGAGAACCGACACACTGATAATTAGAAACATAAGCAATACTTAGGTATCTTTATTGAAGAAATGTTTTGCCACACAGTGGCTTCATCAGTCCTATACAAAGAATGGAGAAGATCAGAAGGCATTTAACCCTTAAACGGTCCAAACGTATGTCAGAAGTATTGGCAAGTGGGTGAGGTATACCTGGAAAGGTTTTCAGGGATCAACACCCCACGCGCTGGTCTGAGACCAGGCTGTTACTGCTGGCTGCATATAAACCAACGTATGAACCACAGCCCGGCTGATCAGTACTGACTTTGGGTGCCTGTCTAGCACCTTCTTGAAGACAGACAGGGGTCTATTGGTAACCTCCCTTATATATGCTGGGAGGCAGTTGAACAGTCTTAGGTCCCTGACACTTATCATGTTGTCTCTTAGTATACTCATGGCGCCCCTGCTTTTCATTGGGGGAATGTTGCATCTCCTGCCAAGTCTTTTGCTTATATAGGGAGGGATCTTAACAAATATTTATAAACAACCTTTGGAACACAACAAGGTCTCTTTTAGACTCCACTGACAAGGCATCAATAACTAACTTCACGATAGAACTAAGTACGGCTGACTGGCCTACAGAATTCTCCAATGCCAATGATATCGATGACTGGATAGACATATTTCTTAAAAATTACTTAGACTATATAACAAACATTGTCCCATAAAAACGAAACAGATTATGAATAAACGGCTAGGTTATCCATGACTCAAGAAATCGTAATGACACGATTGCAAACAAACCATACCCCCGGCCGAGATTGAACCCGCAGTCATAGAGTCTCAAAACTCCAGCCCGTCGCGTTAGCCACTAGACCAGCTAGCCACAATAAGATTCATCCAACTAGGTATATTTCTACACCATAGGAAGGTTAGCACAGGCACCTCTGTGACCACAAATGCAAGTTTTTACAGACGAATCTCCAGCTAGCGTGGCCGTGACGAACTCTAGCTCAAGTCCCTTCACTGCCGTCAACATGACTCAAGAAATCGTAATGACATGATTGCAAACAAACCATACCCCCGGCCGGGATTGAACCTGAGGTCATGGAGATTCGTCTGTAAAAACTTGCATTTGTGGTCACAGAGGTGCCTGTGCTAACCTTCCTATGGTGTAGAAATATACCTAGTTGGATGAATCTTATTGTGGCTAGCTGGTCTAGTGGCTAACGCGACGGGCTGGAGTTTTGAGACTCTATGACCGCGGGTTCAATCCCGGCCGGGGGTATGGTAGGTTATCCATGGTTTACTAACAGCATACTAAGATCCACTGATAAGAAACATCAATATGAAAAGCAATACAGACAGAGCTTAATAAACAGAGATATTATTAAACACTATGCATCAGTCCTCACCAAACTAATAAGAAGGGCTAAGCAATTGTACTACTGTAACTGTTTCACTGAAACAATGTTGCAAGGTAACAACTGAAAGGGTAAGGCAAAGTTTTCTCAGAGTAGTGCAGTGCAGGTTTATCACCTGCCACAGCCTCTCCGAGAAAGGCTGCATAAGGAGACAAACCTGCTCTGCACTACTCTGAAGTGTATATCCACAGTGTTAGTTGAAACAAGGAGTGGAAGGGATGCAAAAAAATGTTTACGGTAATTTCTGATTACAACATACACTGTACCTATAAATGACTAAGAAAAACAAAGGTAATTGTTGCTATACAACTTATAAATCATTAAGAAAAATAATGGTAATGGTTACACTGCAACTGTAAATGGTCAATTATAATTATCAGTAATATGTGTGGTATTTTTGTTTTGGATAGATCTCATTTGTAAAATTAATAAAGAGTATTATTGAAATCTAAATATAATTATATTTTTGAATACTGTACCTGCAGGAGTAACTTTTGACACGAATCTGTCTAATGATGGCGTAGCCCATGATGCGGTTGCATTGGTCATTCAGGTAGCCTCGCAACCCATAAGGTTTTTTCCCATTGTAGTAGCTTCCTGCTCGTAATTCACCTAGCACCCCATTATATAAGTAGTTCCAAAGGTTGTCAGGAGTGTTCACCTGAGTATAAAAAGTAGGACTTACAAACAAGACACATGAAAAAACTGACAAAGTTTTCATTTGCTAGAGAAGAGAGGAAAAAACATATCAGTAGACCATTATATTAAACAGTAGTTTGTTTCCTGAAAATGCCATTGTATATAAATCCGTGTTAGATAAACTGAAGAACTTAGGAGAAAAATAGGGTTAGGTTCCTGGGAACCTCAAAAAAGCAAAACAACTTGTCTTTTAGGATTTCCAGATCTTATAAAAATAAAATTGATTATGTAATTGTTGTTCATTGTCGTGATGTATTATGCTTTTCTATTGCTTAACCCTTTGACTGTCGAAGGGCCCAATCCTGAAGTTGCTCCTGGTGTCGCAAAATATTCGAAAAAAAAAAATTATTTTTTCTTATGAAATGATAGAGAATCTTTTCCCGATTGTAAAGACACCAAAAAAACGAAATTTGATGGAAAACTGACGGAATTACGCTCTCGCGAAGTTAGCGACTTCGGCGATATTTAAAAATCGGCAATTTCGCCCACTTTGAGCCCTATTTTCGGCTAATTCCGTTATTCCAGTCAACCAAACTCATAACTATTTCTTCAGAACTCTATTTTTTCTATCGATTGAGCACAAGAAACTGCCCATTTACCGATTTCAACTACCCAATAACATGGTCAGAAATTTGCAATTTGGCCAATTTCACGAAAATTAAAAAATACGACAATTTCAAAATAAGGTCCAGAATGAACAATGCAGACATTCCTGGCTCTAAAATAAGATTTTCTTTGTTCATCAGTCATGTCTCCAGGTCCCTGTGATATTACTCTTGCTTTTTATTTTGAAATTTTATTCAAACAAAAAATAGAAGATTTACTGTTATGCAGACTACTGCAATACTGTAATAATTGTAAAAATTACATCAACCCATTCATGACTGCGTATTAGAATGGCTATTTGGACATTTATTGGACAATGACATCATTTGTTTACTTTTGAACATCGGCAAAAATCAAACATTTCCTGTACTTTGTGCTCCATTTCCAGGTTCTTTTTATAGTAAAATTAATCAAAATCACCTCCATTTCTATAATATAGTTTCCATTCTATCAAATGAGACCATGAAAACGAGAATACAACCACAAATACTATACGAAAATAGACCACAAAGTCGGCATTTTAATTAAAAAAAACGGTCGGAGTTTTTTTTTTCTCATTATGCACTGCGTGCTCCAGGATTTTTTTTATGTGGTGCACACTGACCACACAGACCCATTCTCTCACATGTGGGCCTACTAGCTTTCTCCTGCCTGATTTGAAGCCGCTAGAATTTATGAGTATATATACGTCAAACACGGTACCTCACAAACGTATATATACGGCCGCGACAGTCAAAGGGTTAACCATTTCAGGGTCCATGCTGTAGTTCCACGGCTTTGAAGCCAGGGTCAATGCCATAGTACTACATGATGAGCTCAGCTCACTCAGGCAAGCTGTGAGTGGTGAATATGGGACTAAATATGAAAGAATGTGTCGATGTAATAAGAGTGCACTATATGAAATTAATCTTGCAGCACACAGCACTTATGAGGAAAAAAAAAACTGTGTATTTTATTTAAAACAGCAACTTTGCGGTGTACAGCCTCTCCTCACTTAGTGATGTACTTGTTTACGATGACTTGGACTTACAACGGGCTCTCCAATCAGTATTCATACCTAAATAATGTATGTTTGAGCTGATTTTCTCTATTTTGTTTATTACAATATACAATACACTACTGTATAAACATTTAACCCTTTCACTGTCGAGACCCCTGCTCACAAACTTGCTCTCAGTGTCAAAGAATTTAAAAAAAAAAAAAAACTATTTTTTCTAATGAAATGATAAAGAATCACTTCCTGATGGCAATGACACCAAAAGTACAAAATTTGATGGAAAACTTAAGGAATTATGCTCTCGCAAAGTTTGCAGTCTCAGCGATATTTACGCATTAGCAATTTCACCAACTTTGAGTGCTATTTTTGGCCAATTTCTTTGTTCCAGTCAATCAACTCATAGCTATTTCGCTAGAACTCCATTTGTTCTATTAAATGAGTACACGAAACCACCCATTTACTAATTTTAGCTGCCCAATAAAGTAATCAGAAATTGGTAATTCGGCCAATTTCATACACAATTCAAGTAAGGCCAATTTCATAATAGGGTCCAGAATTAACAATACTGTACAAACATTCCTTTCACTAAAATAACATTCTCTGTTTCATTATTATGCTTGCTTTCCATTCTGAATTTTAATTCACACAAAAAATAGATGATTTACTGTTATGCACACTACTGCATCATTGTAAAAGAAGTATAAATAATATCAGCACATTTGTGAAAACATATTAGACCCATCAGTTGATGTGTATTGGACACATATCTTGATTTGTTGACTCTTGAACATCAGCAAAAATCGAACATTTCCGCTATTTTGAGCTCAATTTCAAGGTAATTTTATTCCGTAAACCATTCAAAATCATTTCTATTTCTATAATATATCTTCCATTCTATCAAATGAGACCAAGAAAACGAGAATACAGCCATAAATACCATGTGAAAATACACCTCAAAGTCAGTGCTTTAAACAAAAAAAAAAACGGATGGATTTTTTTTCCTCATTATGCACTGCGTGCTGCAGGATTTTTTTTATACTGTGCACACTGACCACTCAAACCCATTCTCTCATATGCAGGCCTACCAGCTTTCTCCCACAAGACTGGAAGCCGCTAGAATTTTGGCGTAATATTACGGGACTGACACTGGCTTGCAAGCCGTAATATTATGGGACCAACAGCGAAAGGGTTAAAAATATACCAGAAATGTTATAAATGGTGCAAAGGTGACATTAAAACAATATCAAAGATGGTTGACACAAGTCCACTACCATTATAGTATGCTCCTCACTTAGCGACGAATTCATTTACTGATGTGGTCTTAGGAACAGAACCACATTGTGAGGAGGCTGTATTTTCATATGGTTTTTATGGTTGTATTCTTGATCTCATTTCATAGACGATATATTACAGAAATAGAGATGATTTTGATGGTTTTCAGGACTCAAAATAGCTTGAAATTGAGCTCAAAGTAGTGGAAATGTTCAATTTTTGCAGATGTTCAAGAGTAAACAAATCACATCATGTATCCAATACACGTCAACTGGTGGGTCTAATATGCATTCACAAATGTGCCGATATTATTTATACAATTATTACAATATTGCACAACAGTAACTCTTTTGTGTGAAATTCTGTGTGAATAAAAAATCAAAATGGAATTCACGTGTAAATCTTGGTAACATAACTAATGAACAGAGGAAGTGTTATTTTAGTGCCAGGAATGCAGTGGCGTCGTGAGGGGATGCCCGGGGATGGAGGGGGATGCAGGTGACACCATTTAGGGGGTGACACCACAGAGCCTCTAAAGAAGGTAACACTAATGCCCAAAACTGTGCTGCAGCAACACAAGAGAAAAATCCTTCGTTTCTATGTAGCCTAATATATCATTACAGAATACAAATAGGCCTATACAGGGAAAATCATTGATTTTGATGATGTGATAGATGATTTTGCAGGATTGAAGGCAAGGAAATGTAAGATCAGATTCATTGAGATGTTACCTGTATTCAAGGTCAAATTAGAACTAGTGTTTTTCTCTATTTTTCAAGTTTTTTTTTTTTCATTGTTGAAGATGAATAAACGTAGGATCTGTTGCCTGTACTCAAAGTGGTATTTGAGTTTGTTTCCTAACTACTACTACGATTATTTATTTTATCACTAATAAAGTTCGGTTTATGGCCCTTAAGCATTTTCATTGCTAAATACTAGTCATTAGTCATGCAGTAGTGATGTAACTGGAGTTTACTCCCCCATCCCCCTGCCCTGGGATTTCATGGGGGTGACACCAAAGATGCCGCCCTGGGTGACACCAAAGATTCCGCCCCGGGTGACACCAACCCTAGCAACACCACTACAGGAATGCCTGCATGGCTTATTCTGAACCCTGTTTTGAAATTGGAATATTTTGAAATTTGAGTAAAATTCACCAAATTACCAATTTCTGATCACTTTATTGGGTAGTTGAAATAGTTGACTGGGTGGTTTCTTGTGCTCAATCAATAAAATATAAGGCATACTAGTGAAACAGCTATGAGTTTTGTCAACTGGAACAATATAATTGACCTAAAATAGGAGTCAAAATGAGCAAAATCGCTGATGGGTAAATATCACTGACAGCAAAATTTGCAATAGCATAATTTCATCAGTTTTCCATCAAATTTTATATTTTTTGTTTTATTACTTTCAGAAAAAGATTCTATACCATTTGATAATATAAAATAACAAATTTTTTCTTTTGAAAATTCTTGAACCCTGTGAACAAGTTTCAGATTAGGGGTCTGGACCCTGAAAGGGTCTATTACTCTTATGAACTATCATGTAACACCACTTGCTATAGTGATGAATATGGAGAATACATTTCTGCAAATTTTACTGTAAAAAACCTTAAGACTCCTATAACAATTGGTGCCATTTACTGGATGCCTCATACAAACATCCCAAATTTTAGCAATAAATTAAAGATACTAATCACAAACAACCAAATGAACAAGCACCACTCTCTCCTAGCCAGAGACTTCAACATTAACCTTGGCCTAACAGATGGCCAGCCAGTAACTGATTTCATCAACAATATGAACAACACACTACTCATACCAACTATAACAAAACCAACCAGGCTGACTGAGACAAGTGCAACCATAATTGACCATATACGGACTAATATACTAGCTCCCCTTAAATCAGGGATAATCACAGACAGAACTACTGACCACTACCCTACCTTCCTCTTAACAAACATTGGTAAACAACAACTGGAATACAACAAGGTCTCTTTTAGACTCCATGATGAGGCTACAATAAGTAACTTCACAACAGAGCTAGGTACGATTGACTGGTCTACAGAATTCTCCGAGGCTAATGGTATCGATGATTGGA